TGAATTGTGATGATATAAATATTCTAGTGTAGATGTCTTTTTGATAGAATGTCTTTCTTTCCTTTGGGTAGATACCCAGTGGTGGGATTGCTGGATCAAATAATAGTTCTACTTTTAGTTCTTTGAGGTATATCCTTATTATTTTCCATAGAGATTGAACTAATTTGCAGTCCCAACAGCAGTATAAGAGTATTCCTATCTCTCTGCATCTACGCCAATATTTATTGTTTGGGGACTTTTTGATAAAGGCCATTCTCACTAGAGATAAGTGATATCTCATTGTGGTTTTGATTTGCATTTCCTTGATGATTGGAGATGTTGAGCATTTTTTCATATGTGTGTTGGCTATTCATCTATCTTTTGGAAAGTTTCTGCTCATGTCCTTTGCCCACTTTTGAATTGGGTTGTTTGATATTTATTTCTTGCTGATTTTACTGAGTTCTATATAGATTCTAGTTATCAGCCCTTTATTGGATATATAGCATGGAAATATTTTCTCCCATTCTATAGGTTGTCTATTTGCTCCTAGTGATAGTTTACTTGGTTGTGCAGAGCTTTTAATATGATCAGGGTTCATTTATTTATTTTTGTCGTTGCTGGGATTGATTTTGAGGTTTTCATTTTTTTGTTTTAAAATCTATTTTATCTAATGCCAGTACAGCCATACCAGCTTTGTTGTGGTTGCTGTTTTATATAATTTTCCATATTTTACTTTCAGTCTATTTGTATCTTTGAGTCTAAAGTGTGTCTCCTGTAGAGAGTATATAGTTGATTCATGTTTTAAACCCAGTCTCACAATCTCTGCCTTTTTATTGGTTTATTTAATCCATTCACATTTAATGTTATTATTGATATAGTTGAATTTACATCTGTCATCTTACTGTTTTCTATGTTTCATTTCTTTTTTTGTTCCTGTATTTTCCTTTTACTTTTTTATTTGCATTAAGTGAATATTTCCTAGTGTAGCATTGATTTCTTTACTGATTTTTCATTATATCTTTAAAGTTTTTTTTTTTTAGTGGTTGCTCTAGAGTTTACCATAAACCTTTTATCAGAATGAGCTTCAGATTTATACTAGCTTAACTCCAGTGATATATAGAAATATTACTCCCACATAGTCCTATTCTGTTTTTTACCTTTTGTGGTATTATTATTATTATTATATTATTAATAAGTGTCTTAATATTATAAACACAAAAATACATTGTTATAATTATTAATTTACCATGTGTCATCATTTCTATATCCTGTTAGAAGTTTGCTCCCATCTACTTTCTTTGTGCTACTTTGGCAAATACATTAGACACATATTACATTTTTAGGTTATAGGTCTAACTATACATTATAATATTTTTTTTTTTTTTTTTTTGAGACAGAGTCTCACTTTGTTGCCCAGGCTAGAGTGAGTGCCGTGGCGTCAGCCTGGCTCACAGCAACCTCAGTCTCCGGGGCTCAGCAATCCTACTGCCTCAGCCTCCCGAGTAGCTGGGACTACAGGCATGCGCCACCATGCCCGGCTAATTTTTTTGTATATATATATTTTTAGTTGGTCAATTAATTTATTTCTATTTTTGGTAGAGACGGGGTCTCGCTCAGGCTGGTTTCGAACTCCTGACCTTGAGCAATCCGCCCGCCTCGGCCTCCCAAAGTGCTAGGATTACAGGCGTGAACCACCGCGCCCGGCCACATTATAATATTTTATATAATTTTTTTCTTAAGTCAGAGAAATATGCATTTATATTATCTTTTAAAATTATATAATTATCTTTACATATGCTTCTTGTTTTTTCATGTAGATTATAATTCCCATTTCTTTTAGCCTGAAGAAATTCTAGTATTTCTTGTAAGAAAAATCCACTAACAACCAATTTTTCAGTTTTTTTTTATCTTGGGAAGTCTTTACTTCACCTTTATTTTTGAAAGATATCTTTGCCTGATATAGGATTTTTGAATGACAGTTGCTGCTTTAAGCAGTAAGAATATGTTATCTTATTGTGTATTTGCCTCATTTATTCTGAGAAGTCAGCTCTTAATCATGTTCGATTTCCCTTATAAGTTATGTTTTATTTTTCTCTTGCCGCTTTCAAGATTTTCTCCTTATTTTGACTTCTGGCATTTTTACTCTGATGTATCTGCTTGTGTATCTCCTTGTGTTTATCCTTCTTGGAGATTTTTAAGCTTCATGAGTGTGTGTTGTTGTTTTTCAATCAATTTTGTTTGTTTTTCAATGGGTTTTTAGCCATTGCTTCTTTCAATATTTTTTTCTGCTCCTTATCTTTTTTCTACTTCCAGTGCTGCTTTTATGTGTTTTTGGTTTGCTGACTGTTATCCCATATTTCTCTGAGGTCATCTTCATTTTTCTGCATTATTTTTTCTCTTTGTTGGCTGGTATAATCTCCATCAAATTATCTTCAAGTTCAATTATTTTCTTCTGTCAGTTCAAATTTAGAGTTGAGCCCTACTAATGATTTTTTTAAAATTTCACTTATTGTACTTTTTCACTCTAGAATTTATATTTGTTTCTTTTTTCCAATCTATATATTTATATTCTCTATTTTCTGCAATATTGTTATCATACTTTCTTTTACTTCTCTAATTATGGTTTCCTTTAGTTCTGTGAACATGTTTATCATGGCTACTTTGAAGTCTGTTTTTGAAAAATCAAATGTCTGGTCAGTCTAATAGGTGGTTTCTATTGCCTGCTTTTTTCTCATGTATATGTCATACTTTCTTGTTTGTTTGCATGCCTTATAAGTTTTTGTTGGAGATTGAACATGTTAGATAATATACTGTAGCAACTTTGGTTACTGCCCCCCTCTTCCTCCTGGTAAGCCTCTGATGTTGTTCTTAGGGAGGTGCAGCGTTGGCTATGCCCACAGTCACTCTGCAAGGACCGTGTTTTTTTTTTTTTTTTTTTTTTTTTTTGAGACAGAGTCTCACTTTGTTGCCCAGGCTAGAGTGAGTGCCGTGGCGTCAGCCTAGCTCACAGCAACCTCAAACTCCTGGGCTCAAGTGATCCTTCTGCCTCAGCCTCCCGAGTAGCTGGGACTACAGGCATGCACCACCACGCCCGGCTAATTTTTTTGTATATATATTAGTTGGCCAATTAATTTGTTTCTATTTATAGTAGAGACGGGTCTCGCTCTTGCTCAGGCTGGTTTCGAACTCCTGAACTCAAAGGATCCGCCCGCCTCGGCCTCCCAGAGAGCTAGGATTACAGGCGTGAGCCACCGCGCCCGGCCTAGGGACCGTGTTTTGTCAAGGCTCTCTTCTTCTTTTTCTCTGTGACACCCAGCCGTTAAACTCCACTAATTTCTGTTTGACTGCTCTATTGTTTTCAATAATTCTCTGGGACATATATTGCTCTACAAACCAATCTCTTTAATTCTGGCTCCTTGGAAAGAATAGTTCCTGAGATTAGTGTTTGATATTTTCTGATTCCAAGTGGCCTCCTCCCAGCTGTCTTGTTCCCTGGTTCTTTCCTGAAAACTATTAAGTAGTTTACCTATAGTTTAGGCTCTGTTTTCTTGACTTCTTCTCCCTGCAGGCAAAATCTCTGAGGCAGGCCTCTAGAGGCTGGGTGTGGGAACAATGGCAACCTTCCTCCGAGTGACACACTATTTGTAAGAGCTGAGTACTTTTTATAGGGGAGAGTAGCAGCCCCAGGTCTTCTTGGGTCTTCTCTCCTGGAGTGGAACTACTGCCTCCCAAACCCAGGACATCAGGCCCCAGTATTCTCAGCACGCTGTGCCTAAGGGAGAGCCCTCTATTATGTAAGTACGGGCTGGGTGGAGGAAGAGCACTCCCACTTCTCAGCTGCATTTGCCTAGTACCTAGACCAAGTAACCAATAGCTGGGGACAAGATAAGAAACCTTGATGTCCTCTTTCCCCTGGGATGAAAGTTATCTGGGAGCTGGAGGGAGAGGGAGCCCTGTGCTCTTGGCTGCAGCATTCTGGAGTGGAGTTTCTGCCTCAGTAAGCTAAAGAAGAGAGGGAGAAAGCTTGTTTCAAATACCATAGATTCTTGCCTTTTTTACTGAATCTTCAAAGATCTTCTTCAGTAGATGTTTCTGCCATTTGTGTTTATCTTTAGTGCCATTTCCAGAGGCTTTAAATGGTTTATTAAATAATAATTTTCACCATTTTCACTGGAGAATTGGCCAGCCTCGCTTCTCACGCTGCTCACACAGTTATTCTCTCAATCATCGAGAGACTTTTAAAATTTCATTCTTCTCATTATGTGAAAAGACCCTACTGGCCTAGAAGTAAACATAAAGAGCGTTAAGTTTTTACAACAGAGAGCTAATGTTGCAGGTAAGATCTACTTTGTCCAAAGTTCATAATGCCTGGAGGTTAGGAAAGCTGTGTCAGTGACTAAGCTGTCATACCAGATAATTCAGGGCTTTTACTCACCTTTTCCTGAGTTCTCAAGAAATTGTCACACCTAAGTTTACTATGTCTAGCCAAATAAAACTCTTTCTCTTAACTGATAATTACTTTTATACTCTAAGCCAGTGGTCCCCAACCTTTTGGCACAGGGACCAGTTTCATGAAAGACAATTTTTCCATGGACTGGGGGTCGGGGGATGGTTTGGGATGATTCAAGCGCATCACATTTACTGTGCAGTCAGACCTCTCTGCTGCTGATGGTCTGTATTTGCAGCCGCTCCCCAGCACTAGCGTCACCGCCTCGGTGCCACCGCACATCATCAGGCACTAGATTCTCACAAGGAGCGCGCAGCCTAGATGCCGTGCATGTGCAGCTTACAGTAGGGTTCTCGCTCCTGTGAGACTCTGACGCTGCTGCCGCTCTGACAGGCGCGGAGCCCGGGCGACGCGAGTGAAGGGAGCGGCCGCAAGGCGGGTGGGGCGGCGCTCGCTCGCCTGCGCTCGCCTGCTGTGCGGCCCAGCTCCTGACAGGCCACAGACCAGTACTGGGTTTGGGGACCGCAGCTGTAAGGAAATGATTTATCTTTATTTTACTTGATTTTTCCTTCAGGGCACTCCAAGAAAATATATTTCACATGATGCAACAATGGCTTTTGAAGATAGGCAATGAAATTAACAATGGTAACCTTGAACTTCAGCGCCATGTATGTACTTATAAGGATTTGTGAGGTTATATTTTGCTTTGTCCGGGGGTTTTCTTTAAGAAAAAACCAGGCCCTCCCTATCCAATTGAGGCAGGAGGGGAAGGGCAAAATGGAAGCTTATACTATAATTTCTCAGGTGATTTTCAGTAGATTTTTTTTTTTTTTGAGACAGAGTCTCACTTGTTGCCCAGGCCAGAGTGAGTGCCGTGGCGTCAGCCTAGCTCACAGCAACCTCAAACTCCTGGGCTGAAGTGATCCTCCTGCCTCAGCCTCCCGAGTAGCTGGGACTACAGGCATGCACCACCATGCCCGGCTAATTTTTTCTGTATATATTAGTTGGCCAATTAATTTCTTTCTATTTATAGTAGAGACGGGGTCTCGCTCTTGCTCAGGCTGGTTTCGAACTCCTGACCTCGAGCAATCCGCCCACCTCGGCCTCCCAGGGTGCTAGGATTACAGGCGTGAGCCACCGCGCCCGGCCTCAGTAGATTTTTTTAAGTACAGAAAGTTCCTGCCTCTGGAGTGGTGTTTTTGAGATGATCAGTAGTTTTTGAATTCTAATTATTATCTTTACCCTTTACTTTTAGTATGCTGAAATTTTTTCCTCAGTGAAATTAATCTTGGATGTGACCATTTTAAAGATTTATGTCAGATTATGTTTCTTGCATCCCTTCAGCCAATAAGGGCAGAAACATGTTACTAACAGGAAAGAGAAGATGCCACAATACTATTGGTCTATAATTACCGGAATGAATAGAATTATTCCACAATTCTGAAGAGTTGAACTTGTGGACTTATTAACCAGCACAACGTGAAATAATAATTTCCATAGGATGTCTTAGTTTACTTCATTTACTCCCACTTCCTATTCTTATTTATAATCTAAATTTACACGGGAATCTATTATTATAGGTAAACTTAACGTGCAAATATTTTATCTTACAAAATTGCTAACATGAATTTGATTCATTTTAATATTTCTTAAATTAGAAATTTGAAAGGCAGAGACATCATGTTATATGGGAATATTACTAATGAAACATTACATTATATTACAGTTCTATTAGCATATTATAAACATACAGTTACCAAGAGTTGAGGAGTAATTATATTAAGGCTAGAAGTACAGATCCAAGGGATCCCAAAGCTTGGGAGAAATTCTTATGACAACCAATATGAAGAAGAAAAAGCATAGCAGAATGCCTGTCACATAGTGGGACTCAATAGATGTTTGTTGAATGAAATTAGGAAGAACATTCCAGCATTGTTGGTGTCTCATGGTGCTACTACATTAACCTTTTTTTTGGCAAAATACCATCAGGAATTTATCTCCATGGAATCATATAGTTAATTTTTGGTATTAATTTATAGTTAATCATATTTTATAATTAATTTATTATAATTATTTATAAATTATATAATTATATAATTTATAATTAATCATATAGTTAATTTTTGGAATTTAATTTTTATGATATAGGATTATTTAGAAAGTACCTTTATAATACCTCTATTTTAAGAGTCTCATGCTCTACCGACTGAGCTAGCCGGGCAATTTTAATACTGAATTATTATGGTATAATTAATCTGTATAGAAAGCTTGCAAGATTGTTAACTCTTACAGGAACTATGTGTATCCATATTTACTGGTATAAGTATTTTAAAATGGAAAAGTTTGTCTTTTTTCCATCTACCATTTATTTTCCTTTCTGATTTATTTTCTTACCTCTAGTTATTGTTGTTTTTCTTTTGTCCCCTTACTCATTTGTACTAGATGGCTGTATCAAACAGTAGTCTCTAAATATTGTTTATCCAAGTACCACTCTCCCCTAAGATCTTTGAGCAAGTCATTTCCAACTTACTATTTATAGTTTACATGCAAGAATTACTCTATTGACATATTTTTTAATTTTTTTATTACCTCATATTATGGGGGTACATATATTGTTACAGTTACATATCTTGCCTCTGTCCCCCCTCCCCACCCCACCATGCCAGAGCTTCTAGTGTGCCCAGCCTCCAGGTAGTGAGCACCACACTGCACCCACCATGTGAGTACATGCCCTTTCCCTCCTTCCCCCTTCCACCTGCCCACTTCCCGATTACAGATTTTGTTTTTTAGACATTTTGGTTACACTATGTATCTTTCTCTCTCCCTAAAAAGGGATAGAGGTAATCCCTTCCCACCCCACAATGCTCGCCACTTCCTTAAGATGTGGGTCTCCCCCATCAAATCCCTGTTGAACACTACCATTTTTTAAGCACCATAGTTTTAGTCAGTACCAGTTTGATGGCGAGTAGATGTGTAGCCCATTTTCCACATCTTGTGTCGTCTTGCTTTGTATTATGGGTTTAAGCTTAATCCTTATTTGGCCAACTAATATATATAGACCTTATTTGGCCTTATTTGGCCAATCCTTAATTGGCCAACTAATATATATAGAAAAAAATTAGCCGGGCATGGTGGCACATGCCTTTAGTCCCAGCTACTTGGGAGGCTGAGGCAGCAGGATTGCTTGAGCCCAGGAGTTTGAGGTTGCTGTGAGTTAGGCTGATGCCACGGCACTCACTCTAGCCTGGGTAACAAAGTGAGACTCTGTCTCAAAAAAAAAAAAAAAAGAGTGTTCCTGTCTCTCCGCATCCTCGCCAGTATTTGTTGTTTTGGGATTTCTTGATACAGGCCATTCTCACTGGAGTTAGGTGGTATCTCATTGTGGTTTTGATTTACATTTCTCTAATGATTAGAGATGTTGAACTTTTTTTTATATGTTTGCAGGCCATTATTCTGTCTTCTTTGGAGAAGTTTCTGTTCATTTCCATTGCCCATTTCTTAATGGGGTTGTTTGATTTTTTCTTGTTTATTCTTTTAAGTTCTAGATAGATTCTTGTTATTAGACCTTTATCAGAAGTGTGAAGAGCGAATATTTTCTCCCACTCTGTGGGTTGTCTGTTTGCTCTAATGACCGTTTCCTTGGCAGTGCAGAAATTTTTTAATTTGATCAGATCCCATTTGTTTATTTTTGATGGGGCGGTGATTGCCTTGGGGTCTTCCTCATAAATTCTTTGCCTAGACCAATATCTGATAGGGTTTTCTCAACATCTTCTAGGATTCTTAAAGTTTCATGCCTTAGGTTTAGGTCTGTTATCCATCTTGAGTGAATTTTTGTGAGAAGTGAGAGGTTGGGATCCTGATTCACTCTTCTACATGTTTCTAACCAGTTTTCCCAGCACCACTTATTGAAGAGAGAACCTTTTCCCCATAGTATATTTTTGCCTGCTTTATCAAAGATTAGGTTACCGTATACAGATGGTTTCATCTCTGGTATCTCAGATCTATTCCAGATATCTATGCTTCTGTTCTTGGATATCTATGCTTCTGTTCTTGTGCCAGTACTAGGCAGATTTAACTATTATTGCTTTATAGTACAGCTTGAACTCAGGAAGACTGATTCACTCCCCCCCCCCAGTTTGTTCTTTTTACTTAAGATTCCTTTGGCTATACGTGGTTTTCTCTGGTTCCATACAAAGCAAAGAATTATTTTTTCTAGATCTGTAAACAATGCTGGTGGTATTTTGATGGGGATTGCATTGATTCTATAGATCACCTTAGGTAATATTGACATTTTAACAATATTGATTTTACCAATCCATGAACATGGTACATTTTTCCATCTGTTTAAATCATCTGCAGTTTCTTTTTTTAGTGTTTTGTAGTTCTCCTTGTATAATCTTTTGTATCTCTCGTTAAGTATACTCCTAGGTATTTAATTTTCTTTGGGGCTGTAGTAAAGGGTATTGCGTTTCTGATTTGAATTTCTGCTTGATGGTTCTTGGCATATATGAATACTTCTGATTTGTGTATATTGATTTTATTCCCTGGAACTTTACCGAATTCATTTATCAAATCTAGGAGTCTCTTGGATGAATCCATGGGGTTTTCTAGATATAATATATCATCCGGTTTGGAGAGGGAATGAATTTTTCCCCATTTAGGATGATATTAGCAGTTGGTTTGTCATAAATGGATTTGATAAATTTAAGGTATGGGCCATCTATGCCTATTTTGTTAAGAGCTTTTATCATAAAGGTATGTTGGACTTTGTCAAATGCTTTTTCTGCATGTATTGACAGAATCATATAGTCTTTGTTCTTGCTTTTATTTATAAAGTGAATTGCATTTATAGACTTGCGTATGTTGAACCAGCCTTCCATCCCAGTAAATCCCACTTGGTCATGGTGAATTATTTTTTTGATGTGCTGCTGAATTCTATTTGCTAAAATTTTATTTAGGATTTTTACATCTATATTCATGAGGGATATTGGTCTGTAATTTTCTTTTTTTGTTGTATCTTTTCCTGTCTTTGGTATCAAGGTGATATTGGCTTCGTAGAATGAGTTAGGAAGAATACCATCCTACTCAATGGTGTGGATTAGTTTCTGTAGTATAGGTATGATTTCATCTTTGTATGTTTGACAAAACTCTGAAGTGTAGCCATGTGGCCCAGGACTTTTCTGTTTAGGGAGGTTTTTAATTACTGCTTCAATTTCTGAGCTTGTGATTGGTCTGTTCAAGAACTCAGTTACCTCCTGGGTGAACTTAGGGAGGTTGTATCAGTCTAGGAATCTGTCTATTTCATCTTCATTCTGTAGTTTTTGGGCATATAGATTTCTATAGTAGTCAAACATAATGTTTTGTATTTCTGTGGAGTCTGTTGTGATCTCTCCTTTTTCTTTTCTTATTGAGTTTATTAGAGTCCTTTCCCTTTGAGTTCTTGTCAGCCTAGCCAGAGGGCTGTCAATTTTGTTGATCTTTTTGAAAAACCAGCTTCTGGTTTTTCCATATAATTCTTTTGCTTTCCATTTCATTTAGTTGAGCTTTGATATTAAATATCTCTTTCCTTCTGCTGGGATTGGAATTGGTTTGCTCTTCTTTTTCCAGTTCCTTGAGTCTATTCATTAGGTTGTCGGTGTCTACTCTTTCTGTTTTTTGGATGTGAGCA